CTAAATTAAATTTTTTCAGTTCTTCTCTCCACCGTTTCGCGTTTTCAAAAACTTTTTCCGCCATCTGAATACGAAATTTAAAGTTATAAAGCCGTTTGAATTCATTTGCTTGCATTTTCGGTTTACATTTTCATGGAAACACGCATATATGCGAAAGTCTGCGAATCATGGGAGTTTTTCTTTTCTTTAAATATTCCTAAACTAAGCTAAATAATGTACCTTTACAATCCTTTCATATTTTAAGAGAAATTATCTCTGGCTAGTTTTATATTAAACAAAAACAATAACGTACGCGACAATTTTTCTCGAAAATAATAAAATGTATTTATTGAGAACTCTTCGCGCCACTGTTTCATTGTTTTACAACTATTCTAAATAATTTAAATGGAAAATTTGCAATTAACATTGGTTTTGATGTATTTGATTGAAATTTTCGTACTTACAATAACGTATGCGACAAAATTTAAAGGGTAATAAAATTTGTTTTACTTCGGTTGGAAAGAAAATTGTACTGTATATCTTTAACGCTTAAGAATTGTAATCTGCATTACCTGCGACTGCCAATATACAAATGACATAGACAAACAATGTTTTTGCAGAACGTACGCGACATTAGAATACTATCAGAAGCAAATCAAAAAATTACCGTTAACCGAGCTCTAACTTCTCCTTTTTCTCATTTTTATAGTTAGTTGTTATTGCAAATTTGATTTTAAGATGTAATTGTAATGTTTCAAATCTCTTAATTTAGTTAATAGGAAAGAGAAAATAGTTAATTTCATTAGAGAAAACTGAGTCGAAGAGACACTCAGTTTTACTCTTCAATTTTTGAGTTTTAAAATTGCAGTAAGCTGAAATACTTCTATAATATAAAAATTCGAGTATTTTACTCTTATTAATTCGTCTTAAAAACCCTTTTCAGTTGTTTTTATTTTTTCAGTCCTGGTTGACATTTTCATGGAAACACCCATATACCAAACGAAAGGAAAACACATGAATTTTTGATTAAAGAAAAAAACAAAATCATTCGAGCGGTTTTCGAGCATTTTGGTATTAAGAAAAATTTGCAAATTTTTTCAAAAATCTGTTACCTTTAAATGCTCGATATTTGTTGAATTTATATAAAATTTGTACACGATAATATTTCTACTGCTCAAAAGAACTTATATCCCGAAAATGAAAGTTATATATGCCAACCATAAGTTGTTAGAGCACTTAAAGACTCAAAATTGACCCCAAAATAAGCCAATATTTACCGTTGCTTCTACGACAGAAACCGAATCAGTTACTTACATTAATGTATCTGTCGATTGGTTTGGAATTTTGTCTTTGAAATCGCTTCACTAGTTCTCGTGCAATAACCGTTTTCGTGAAGCTCTAAAAATTACAACTACAACATGTGAGCATAGCCTCCATATCGAAACGTAAGACGTATTCTACGTCAAAAGTTTTGAGTTTCAGAACTTTTAAAAAGCTTTTCCAGTTTAAGGGAAACCCCTAAATAGCTCAAAAATTATATCCTACGTTAATTGGGGATCATATCATATTTCAAGGGTGGGCAAGGCCGAGGCCGAAAAGAGTCACACGTAAATTCTAAATGCTGCAAAGAGCAACAAAAAAAAAACACATCAAAAACAAAAATTTCATTTTTAAATAAAATTATTATTGGAAATGAAAAAAAAACAGATTTATTAATATTATTTATAGGTATTAAAGATATTTCAAAAGATCACTTTGGCCAAATTTTCAAAATCTGGTTTACGTCAGTTAAAGCCGTTCGTAACAGTTCTGTTAAATGTTGGTTAGTAAATATGTTTCGTTTAAATCTCCAGTAAAATATGTCCAACAGCAAAATTCCGGCGAAATGTCATCTGTTCTCTC